AGACCATTGCGTTCCTTTCATTTAATGCTAATTTCAATTAATAAGATTTAACATACTTGGCTAAGGGTTCAGTTGATGTTATGTTTATTTCAGACTCCAAAAACGAATGATCAAACTGCTTACCTCCATCCCCCTACGAAAGCCAGTGCTAGAGGTCGCCATTCGACCACCAGTGCAGGTTTGAAATTGATTTCTTCCGGTTAATTTACCTGAGTTATCAGCTATTTCACTCATCAAATAATATTTGTACAATATAGCACTACTGCGTTAAATTTAGAACATCATCTGTTTAAAAATATTATGTACCCACTGCCGCATAACTACTGCAAAACTACATTTGTCTGTCATTGAATGCAGCTCGCAGCGTCTTATCTCAAGCTCAGCACGATGCGCCTTTTGTGCTGCCGCATAATCATAGTATTGGTTCTTATGCTGTAGTATGTAACATAATCATAGCTTCTCAAAAACCAATGCGTCACTCGGCATTGCCCTTTCGTTACTATTTGCCCTCAGAATTTGGAAACATTTAATCAAATGATAGCTACATGATTTTCGAACACTTGACGCATCTCGCATCATTTTATTCGCTAGAGCAGTTTCGTGTTGTTTATCAGAATTTCAGGTATAAGGAGCATCATTTTCTGAAACATCGTAGTGTATATGAGGTCATTCTAGCAATAAAACGAGTGAAGTACTCAAATATATTATCACTACGGTCTGCTGAAACTGAAAAGTATGAAAAGTAAGAAAAAAAACACTTGTAGGCTAATGTGTTTGTTGAGATCAGTGCCTTCAGCAGTTTGCATAAACAAAACATCTCTTATTTGTTATATCCGCAGCTTTGCAGCACTTGCTATAAGACACCTGTCACTGCTTCTCAAGAGAAAATATTCCTCTCTGAAACCTTGAAATATTCCTTGTCTCTAAACTTTGTACCCATTACAGTGAAAGTTATCCTCGTGGTTAACGTCTGCCGTGCTTCGGCTCCTACATGAGAAGCTTACGGGCAAGAGTAAGCAATTTATTCTCAACTAGTTTCTCTTCTAGGACCAACCTCCTTTTCTTAATATCCACATCTTCTGCAGTGATATTAGCCCAGAAGCGAATAGTCTCATTCTTTACGTGGTCCTGCAATTTGACCCACATTATGCATTGAAACCAATGCTACTGGACGCGGGTCAACCATCTTGCTTCATCGTTAGAAAAGAATCTCTTTGCAAAACAACAACACCAGCCTGATAGAGGCAACGTACAGACAGGTGATAACGGGTTACCATTCTTTCTTCAGTTCAAGCAGTAGCTAGGCCTAAACTTGCACTAACTGTGATGAAGACGTGCTTCTGAATACACTGAGTCGTTATACTACATATTTTATACGATCTATTGATGAAAGTCAGCGGATTAAATACTGCAGCTGACAGTTTCAACTTCAAGTTTATTTGCAGGCGCTGTTGTTTCTACAAGCATCACTGCTAATACCGCTGACCAGCTGATCGACCTTGGCGTGCAGAACAATTCCGGTTGGGAAATTCTTGATCCCCTTCGCGCACCGCTCAGCGGCACTGCCAAGAGTCATGTTAATGGGACAAATGCTGAGAACTCGATGTCAAACACGGCACTGTTGGAACCTGTGTTCAGTCCGATCAGCCGCGCTGATAAAGACACAGACTCGCTGAATGACAGTATAATACGCAAATGCAATTGGGAGCATTTTGAATGAAGACAGTGATTCGCTCCGCAGCTCGTCTGCTTCTCCGCCTCAGATGCATCTGTGATACGCTGAAATTTTTCTAGTTCGGTTACTGGTTTCGTTTTTGTTTCTGCTGTGCAGCCATGCCAAAAGAGTTCGTGCCAAACGGCTTCCTTTCGAAACTTTTATTTTTAGGGTTCGTTTCGAGTAGTACATCGGTACTCATTTGCCGATGTCCATGTCATTCCTTCTAAATAAATATGGAATTTGACGCAAGATGCTCATATCCTTCACTTGAAATTTAAATTGTGAATCCACGAACTTCAGTGTTTCAATACAAAATTTACCATTAGAACCGATAACGTTTCATCGTCGCAACCCAGTGATTACTAATGTTCAGATTGTAAGAGGCAAAGCGATGAGTATGTATTGACACAGGGGACTGCCACTGCCCGATCCGTGCGTTTTACGGCTGTCATACGTCTTACATACATGATAGCCCTGTTATCGCAAGGAATCATGTATACTGTTAGAGCCGTGGGACAGCATTCTGAATGGTTCTTTGTTAACTATGAAGTCAGAGTCTAACTAGTATTATGGCAGACGCCAGCATTGTTGCTGACTAGCAAAATAAAAACAAAGGTCTCGTTTAATCGAGGAGACGCAGTCAAAGATATATTGCAGACCTGGAGGACATAAATCACGTTGTCCTCATGAGTAGCCCAGAAAGAGCTTCACTGTCTTTGCTGATGGCATCATTAGGCAGCAAAGCTGTGAAAATCAGTTCCTTTTCTTAATGCCCAGAGTTCAACACTTATGAGAAGCTCAGTCAGTAGTCTA